GAGGTAGACTCATCCAACTGTAAGTTCAAAAATATATTCTAAAGCTAAATACAACTAATTAAGATCACCCAAACCACTGTACCTTTTCACCATTAAAAAAAAAAAAAAAAAGCAACAAATGAAATGAAAACCAAACCAGTTGCCATTGAGTCAGTTCCGATTTATGGTGACTTCATGATGAGTAACGAAAGAGTTGACTATTTAGTAATAAAATCTTAGGCCAACTAAAATCAGGCTTCTACAAAGACAGGAAAACCCGCTACAGCTGAAAATTTACTTATTTCAAGTTCCTATTCTGGCTCAGAAAACCTGGAGACAAATTAGCACTGCAGCTTTTTTATGACAGCATTTCAGATATTGTGGTAGCCATACGAGTGTACTGTTCAGATCTCCCTGTAAGAGAGCCTGTCTCAATCAATCAATTAATTAATAAAAATAAAAATAAATGAACAAGACGTGGTTCTTCCTCTCAAAGAGATTCCAGTCTAATTTATAACTACAATTCACATGTAGTGCAGAGAAAAATGTCCGGAAGGACTGATATGACTAACAGTGATTATCTCAGGGCGATAAGATAACAGAGTAACTCTATTGTTTTTCACTGTCTGCACTTTTCCACAATAAACATAATTTAAAGAGAAAGAGAGAGACTGGTCACTCTTTTCCGGCTGCTCCCAGCCATTGACTGAGCTTGGTGAGGGTACAAGAGCTGAGCCTTTACTGCCTAATATGGTACTCTTTGAACAGATACGTTTTGTTCAGGCACTCTCCATTAGCCCAGCCAAGACTTTCAAGAGCTGCGCTGAAGTCTGAGACTCTGACTACCCAGTCCTCTTTCCTTTTCCCTCTCCCTCCACAGGTGTCAGATCGACATCTCAGTTCGAGGCTCTCACAGACTCCTGCTCCCTCTCCCCTTTATCTTTCACAAGCATTTCCCCCAGTAAATCCCTTGTACTTCCAATTCTGTCTTGGTGTCTGCTTCCTGGAGGACCTGAATGGACACGGACATCGTGAGATAACTGTTTTGTTTTCCATGATTAATTGATTTATAAAAAGGTATTCATTTGATTCAAACACTTGCTTGGCTTTCATAATATTAAAAGAATGAAGATTGTTCATTAAAAATGGGTTCTCTTGGGTATCTCAACCTAGATGACTTTAACTGACTTGTAGGTGAAATATAGCTGGAGGCCCTCAGGGGTGTTTTTGTCCAGGCTGCAAATGAAAGACATGCTGCATCTAAATGAAGAAATGAACCAAGAAGGAATAATCTATGGAGCACAGGAAACTGGAGATATAAATGGGAATTGTGGGGTCAAAGCACTGGGAGAGATGTACAGCTGTTCTCTGAATTGGGCTGGGAAATCACTCCCTAGACATTGTACTTTATGTGTCTGGGTATTAGTTTCCTACGGCCACCATAACAAATTATCACAAACTGGTGACTTAAAACAATAGAAATTCATTCTCTCACAGTTCTGGAAGCCAGAAGTCCAAAATCAAGATGTTAGCGGGGCTGGTTGAACTGTGTCTCGAAAAAAATCTGTATATCAATTTGGCTAGGCCATGATGCCCAGTATGACTCAGACAGGGTCTCAGAGGGAGATGCTGCTCCACGCCTCTCTCCCAGCTTCTGTTCCACGCCTCTCTCCCAGCTTCTGGGGGTTGCTGGCAAGCCTTGGCGTTTCCTGGCCTACGTCATCACATGGCATTTTTGCTGTGTGTCTGCGTCCAAATTTCTCTCTTCTTTTAAGGACACCAGTCATTGAATTTAGAGCCCACCTAATCGAGCATGACCTTATCTACATGATTACCTCTGCAAAGATCCTATTTCCAAAAAAGGCCACATTTACAGGTTCTGGGTGGACATGAGTTTTGAAGGAACACTATTCAAACCAGTATACCTGGTAACTTGAGTGATTAAAAACTAGCTTTTAGATTGGTGTCATATGAGATGGTAAGGAATTTTCTGGCGGTGAGCCTTTGAAAATAGGAGTGTACGGTCTTCTCATAGGATCTGAAACATCCGAGATTGTTCTGGGGGAAGCCAACCACCACGTAAGCAGTTCAATTACTCTGAGATCACAGCGCTGCAGAGGCCACGTGTAGGTGTTCTGGTTGACAATCCCAGTTGAACCTAACCTTCTAGGCACCCCTGCCTGCCAAAATACCACACACCAGTGAAGCTGTCTTGAACCCTACTAAGCCAGACTGAATACCTCTGAGTGACCTCAGTTGGTGGCATGAGGAAAAAACTGCCCAGTTCAGCCCTGCCTGAATTCCTGACCTACATGATTTGTGAAGTATAATAAAATGGTTGTTGTTTTAAGCCACTGACTTCTGAGGCAATTTGTTACGCAGCCACAGTAACCCGAACAGGTGGCTAAGGTCATTGGAAGAGAAGAGGCTAAGGTTTTAGCGGACTCATTCAGGTTGATGTTGAAGTTACCAAAGACGGTGGGGAGTACTGAGAGAGACAGTGAGCCAGATGTAAAACTTCTCAGTTAGTAAAGGGAGGTAAGTGGGAGGCTGGTAGGTGCAGCTGTAAGGGGGATGCAGAGCGGGGAAAAACTGATAAAGCCGTATGACATGCATTTCTAGGGAATTGGAGCTTTTGAAATGAAAGGGAGAAGAAACAATTTGAAAACCACGGAAGGGTGCAAACTCTTAAGTATATAGGGAGTAAATTTAAAAAAAGAAAAGGAAAAAACCAAATAGCCTCCCCTCAAGAGAGATGAGGGGCATTGGTGTAATGGGGGTACAGCCTTGTTTCTGTTGGAGTAAGAGACAGCAGAGTAGCCCTTGAGATAAGAGGCTGAAGATACAGAGGAGTTTGCTGATGGCATCCCATGAATGCCAGACAACATAATGGAAGGCTCTGGGCAGCTGTGGAGGGTGGAGCCCTGAGTCCACTGGGGGATATTCAGAAGACTATCAGCTGAAGGTCTGGGTGGTGACAGAGGAAAACTGGAATGAGAGGCGCGATAGACTCAGTCCAGACAGTCTCAAGGAGAGGAAAGTGAGTGATGAGTTCAATATATTCCATCATTAAACCAACATAGCTATTAATCGAGGGTGGCAATTTTAACAGTTTTGCCACGTGTGTCGAAGGCTTCAGTATCTTTCGAGGCCCTTGAAGAGCTCTAGCTCAAAGACACAAGCAGTATCAAAAAGCAAGAACCAGTAAGCGCCCGAAACAAGATGCAAGGGTTAACCTTTCCCAGTCCTCGGAAAGGGAGGCCATCACTTACAGTCAAGTCATTTTAAGACTCATTCAACAGCAGAGTAAAGAAAGTCAGGATGTGCAGCATCATCAATACTGATAAATTTAAGTTAATGAAGTAAGTCTGTGCTAAACTAGACATCATCCTAATCTTGACTTTACCATTAAAAAATATCAAGCAGAAGAAATGATTATATTCTATTAAAATAGTTCTGAAAAGAACTGCCGTTCTTTAATCCAGGTGTGAAATCCTTTAGCAGACTCACAGAAAACCAGCATTACTAGGAAGCATGTTTTAAGAACTTCTCTAAGGTTATCAGCAAGAAAATGGTTTAAGATATTTAAGATTCAATCAGACTTTGCACGCCACCAGGATAGAAGTTTTATTCATCTTTGTAGTCTGTATCAGCCCACTGTCTGGCAGAATAAGGCACTTAATCTATGTCTGTGGAATAAATAAGGGAACAAACTTAATGTTGTACTGATGGTTCATCTCCAGGGTTTAGCTGGTAGTCCACCTCCTTACCAACCCCAGCCAAATGTCCCTAGTTTCTGGAGTGTTTCAATACAAATATTTGATTCATACATTTCATCTTTCATTCAGACATTTTCCATAAATCCAGACCCATGTATCCAACCAGGCGCCCTCAGAACAACTCCACTTAGGTATCTAATAGGTATCTCAAATTTCACATGTCTGAAACTGAGCTCTTACTGTTCTCCCTGAAACTGATCCTTCCCTGTGTCAGTTAAGGGCAATTCAATTCTCTCAGTTGCTCAGGCCGAAATCCTTGGTGTCTTTTCTGTTTTTCACGAAACTCCATATCCAGTATGCTGGGAAATCCCACTGGCTCGACCTTCAAAATACACCCAGATTGCAACTTCTCACCACTTCCCACGTTACTATATGGTCCAAGGTGCCATCACCTCTCACCTAGATTACTGTAAACCTCTTCACACATCTCCCTTCTTCTGCCCTTGTTCATCGGCAGTCTACTCAGATAGTCTACTTAAAGGGATCCTGCTCCAGTGTAAGTCCAGTTATATCCCTCCTGTGCTCAGAATCCTCCGATGACCGTCCATCTCAGTCAATCAATGCCAAAGTCCTCACGAGCTCCGACCCCACCTCCCCGAGCTCATCTCCTACTCTTTTAAGCCACGGCGCTCTCCTCCTATTTCTTAAACCTGACGGGCAACAGTCCTGCCTCAGGGTCTCTGCACTAACCATTGCCTCTGTTGGAATACTCGTCCCCAGAGACCTACGTGGCTACCTCCCTCATTTCTTAGATATCCTTCAAAAGCGGTCTCCTCAGTGAGGCCTTCTCTAGACACCACGTCGAACTTTCAGCCTGTCACTCTGACAACTTGGACTTGCGTTCCCTGCTTTATTTTTCTCCTCAGCACATAGCACTGTTCAGCATACATTATATCTTACTTATTTATTGTCTGTTTTCCCAGTTGACTGTAGGCTCCACAAGGCAAGGAATTTTGTCTAATTCGTTCACTGCTGTTTCTATCGAGTTCAGAATGGTGCTACCCACAGACTGGAAACCCGGGTGGCGCAGTGGTTAAGAGCTACGGTTACTAACCAAAAGGTCAGCAGTTTGAATCCACCAGGGTCTCCTCGGAAACCCTATGGGGCAGTTCTACTCTGACCTCTAGGGTCACTGTGAGTCTGAATCAACTCGATGGCAATGGGTTTGGTTTTTTGTTTTTTTTATGCACAGATAGGCACTCACAACATTTACTGAATGAAAGAATGTCTTAGTACAGTTTACACTATTCCAATCAAAGGAAGGAATGGGCTTAAACAAGTTAAAGAAAATTCTAACAAGTAAGAGCTACTGTAATAGCTTTCATTTATTACACTACTCTTCTTTCAATCATTTATTCACAATTTTCTCATTACATCCTTGATGAACATCTGGGTTTAACAGAGAAGGAGTGAACGCACTAAGCAAGGTTCAATTTTCTTCATGATGTTCCCCTCTGGATTTTGAGTCTTTACTGTCCTGGAGTCCTAGAAGAACCGCATCGGCCTCCAGGAGAGTTGTGTCCGTCGTCGCTCCCAGGAATCTAGACGTCAGCTCCAGGTCTAACAGCCGCAGCCGGACTCTGGTCCCGTTCTGGTACTTCCTAAATGTCAAGAAAAGAAATTCCATTAAGTCTGCAGATGATAACATGAACAGCTAGATGAAAATAGAACCCAAATTCTGATTTTATGTTGGCACGAGACAAAAAGAAGTTAACAATGGTACCCGAGAACTTAACACTGGTATGTTTTTTACATAAAAGTAATTTGGTTGAGAAGCCTACTGTGTCGAATTTTCATCATAAAGTTACCTTTAAGGATTTTTTGGTGCCTCACAGTTAAGTGGTCGGCAGCTAACAGAAAGGTTGGCGGCTGGAACCTACAGAGTGGCTCCGGAGGACAAAGACCCAGTGATCTGCTTCCATAAAGATTACAGACTAGCAAATCTCACGGGGCAGTTTTATTCTGTCACATGGATTCACTGAGCAGAAAATTGACTCCACAGCACCTAACAACAACAACAAGGATTTTATAAATAGCAGTAAAAACGTATTCTAAACTAAATCTCAACACGTCAGTTCTTGAAACTGGTATTTATTTTAATATGTCATTCATTTTTAAACTCAGAGATTATCAAAGGGGGAAAACGTTTTCCAATATACTTTTCCTCCTAAAATCAAAATCTTCTTTTAAAGTAAAGTAAATTTTACAAAAGTAAAGTGCAGAAAAGTCTAAGTGCAAAGTGTCACTATTTGGAATAGGCTGGCTGCACTGTTATTAACATGTAACGCCAGCCGTAACATACAGGATGGCTCAACTTAGACAATAAAATATTCCAGTATTTTCTAATACCAAATGCCAACTGATAGTCATTTGCCTTTCTTCTTTGATAAATTATTTTAAGAATTTAATATCAACATTTATGATAAATAAAAAAGGTACAGGAGAGTGAAAACTTTGTCGCCGGCTGAAAACCACAAATCTTCAAAGATCTAAATATATACTTCAAATATTCTACATTAATATTAAAATAGTTTTATATAAACTGAAAATGAAGAAGCAAAGTTCTCTAAAACAGTCCTTGGAAAATCATTTTGGTAGACTATATAATAAGCAGTCTCCATACAATACTCTGAAGGAATTTATGAGGAGCACATCAATTAAATGTTTAGGTTATTCGGCTTTTTTTAAAAAAAAGGGTTTTTTCTGATTATAGAAGTAAAATATCTTTTTATAATTACAGAAGTAAAATTTGATTACAGAAGTAAAATTTGGAAAATAAAGAAGGCAGTCATAATCCTACTATTATTAATATTTTGGCACATATTCTTCCAGTTATTTCATACGTACATTTACATATGCCTGTATATATATTTGACAGCATAGACATTTTCCGTGTCTTTGTTTAAAAAAATTAAAGCTGTCCTAGAATATTAATTGGAACACAGCTTTATAGCCTTAGAAAATAACAATTATAGAACATATTCCATATGAATTAGCCATTAGGAAAATAAATTTAGCCCACAGTTAAGGTAAAGCTGAACATTATTTGTCTAAATTACTTAGAGCTGTAAACTGTGTTCCGATGTATTCTTTCATTTGTTTTAACAGCACCACTCACGAGGATTCATTCAATGGGCTTTGATTCATGTCGGCCCCTCCTCCCTCCTCACCTATAACATCCAATGGGTTGTGAGTTTGTTCATTTTTAAACACAGAATTCTCAAATCCAGTCCTTTTGCTCTCATCACCTCTAATGAAAGCTTGAGGTGTGACATCATCCTCCGGAGCCCAACTTTCTAGCCCACCTCTCACAGAGAGTTCTGTATGTGTATGCTTGCGTAGAAAAGGTCTAACATCCATTCCCATATCCTTCTATTCTTCTGCATCTCTGCTTCTGTTATCAGCATTGCACGAACCTCCTGTCAGTCGAAATCCTACTCGTTCTTAAATATCCAGGTAGAACGCATCTCGTGCAGCTCCCAGGAGCCTCCCCCTCGCCAGAATGAAGTCTGTCATTGGAATTCCCACGGCTTTACCAAAGACTCAAGGTAGTGTAGAAGGCAGAGGCTTTGAAATCACACAGACCTGAACACAAATCCCAGCTCTGCTCCTAACTCGCTGTGTAACTTTGGCTGGTGTGCTTTCTCTGAACGAGTTTCCTCATCTAGGTAACAGAGATTCCGGGCTGGCTGCGAAGACTAAATGGGGTAATATATTCAAGAAGCATAATATAGTAAGTGTAAATGTCAGGGCCCCTTTCACTTACTTGTATGATGCTTTCTAATGGTGATCTGTGAACGTCTGATTTCTCATGACATTCTGCGCTCCCTGGGGTCCGGCACTGTGCTGTATTTATCTCTGTATCCAAAGGGGCCTAATTCAGGATTTTACATGCAACGGGTACTGAAATGTCTGTCAAGAGAGACTACTCATTATCTAGAATCTTCTACTTTCTTGGCTCACGCAGCTGTGTAGAATGGTACATGTAACTTAACCTCTCTGAAATTTGCTTAGAATGTCATTGTTTTGTGCCGTTGAATCAATTCTAACTCACAGCAACTCTACAGGACCGAGCAGGACTGCCCCACAGGATCTCCCAGGCTGTAATATTTATGGGAGCAGAGCGCCAGGTCTTTCTGCCACAGAGCCACTGGGTAGGTTTGAACCGCCAGCCTTTTGGTTAGCCAAGCACTTAACCACTGTGCCACCAGGGCTCCTCTTGCTTGCATAGTACTTGCCATATACAAAAAAAAAAACAACAAACAAACGCATTGCCGTCAGCTGATTCTGACTCATAGCGACCCTAGTAAACAAAAAAAAACCCAAACCTGCTGCCCTCGAGTCGATTCCAGACTCACAGCGAGCAACTCTACAGTAGTTAGTAAATGTGAGTTCTCCTCTCCTCCCCTTGTTCAGACCTGTGGGCCTATTTCTTCTCACTAATTTTAGGAACATCACTCGTCGGTGGGCTACACACTAAACATGGTGCAGGGGACAGGGCCACTTTTTACAAAAGTGGAATGTGTCACGAACACTTGAGACAGCAGCTCTGGGCATAGCCACACTGAAGACGAAGTGAATGGAAAGTTAGTCCTCAGCTCTCAGAGCACGTGGCTCCAAGTCATGCACATTCTAGAGATCTCCAATTACAAAATAAAAACAGAAACACTGTGAGTGCCCTGTATGCTTGGTAATTTATGGAAGGCAAAACTCTGTCCCCATTTTTAGATGCAGTAAGTCTTTACTAATATTGAAGCTTTTGCCTTAATCTCTATAAATTCTGGAAATTAACCAAGGAGCTGGTAAGGAGGCGAGAAGCAAATTGCAGGCCTTTTGTGTGCTGTATGCATGAGGAATCAGCCAAGGGTAGATACTGGGCACTAAACATAAAGAATAAAGAACCTCTAGAAGATTCTCTGCTTCCAGTACCTGGAAAAGCTGTTTCTATCTCTTTAATGGTATTAAAAACAAACAAAAACCCTCTGTGTTATAGTTACTTATTTCTATGTAAGTTATTATCTTCCCACCAGACTGTAAGCTCCTTAAATGCTGGGCTTCAGTCACGCGTCCCCTTTAGTACTTTGATGAGTACGTTTCACTTAACGTAATCTCTGAACAGTGGCATCCACTTTGGAGTGCGTCAGAAACACCTGGGAGGCTTGTTGAACATGGACCTAGAATGCGAGCGGGGGAGATCCCAAAGTGAGAATTCGCCTTTTTCACAAGGCCCTCAGGTGATTTTGATGCAGCCTTCTCTGATCACCACTTGAAAAATTCTGGCCTAGAATCACCTTTATTGTGTCCAGTAAAGTGCAGGACATCTACCCAAACACAAAGGACTGGTACGAGAAGGATCTCGGACGGAAGGTTGTGGCACCGTTAACAACCTTCCAGAGTAACAGATACTTCCCCTAAGTGATGACACTGTCTGTCAGGGTGAGTAATTGAGACAGACCAAAAAACAGAAAAAGGCAGGCAATGACAACATACACTGAAGAGTCCGGGCCATGAAGACCACTGACAGCCTGGAGTGTGGAGCCTCGCGCGCACCCAGACTGCCTGTTCCAGGAAATCCAGGACATGGAGAGGTCAGAATATTCCTCCATCAACAGGAACAGCATCCATAAAATTAATGTGGAGTTTTATCCTTGTTTTAACTTTGAAGCATTTCATTAAAATGAAGGAACGAACCAGTGGTGTATTTCTGAGAACTCCATTTCTGTCAATGTAATTCAAGGTGAACCTTCAGTATTGGAGTCTTTGATAATCACTTATACTACTTACAGCTTCTCATTTGGGGGTTTCCACTGTTGCACACAACAAGATTTAAAATGAATATGACAGTAGACTCTTTACCCAGATTGCTTGTACAGTCTTTAAATGGTCACTTCATTCAATGATTTTTGGCATAAGTATAAAAATCCAGCAGAGGCAATATAACGTAGATATTGAGAGCGTGGACTCTGGAGTCAGAGGACCTGGATATGATGTCCAGCTCTGTCACTTATAAATGATGCAACCCTGAGCCAGTTACTTAATCTCTCTGCTCCAGTCTCTTCATTTGTAAAATGGGAATCATAATTATGCTCATCTCCTAGGGCTCTTGTGTGTATGAAGTTAACATGCGCAAAACCCTTGTAAGTGCTCAATAAATGTTAGCTATCATCATCAATCACCAAAAGTATCAATACATATCCCGTGACACTGGATACTTTAACGTGGGCCTGATGGGGAGTACAAGAGCACTCCCAGCAGATTATAATTAAATCAATGAAGGCTTCCTGTGAAAAGTGAATTTGGGCTAGGGTTTTGATTGGATATTTGCTTGGATTCAAATCCTACTTGTTTTAATGGTATAAACATTCCTCTGTTAAAATATATTATTAGATAAATGTTCTACAAAAATGAAAACAATTTCTTTGAAAAGAATGTTGAATTTCCTTTGAGGGTGTGAGGCAAAATAAGCATAACTGAGAGAACTACCCATTTATCAGTCCACATTTCCCAGCAGTAACCACAATATAACTGGAAATAAAAAAGTAGCATATACTACCAGTCACAAGGGGTCAGAGTGATTTATCTACTCCAGTATTCTTTTCAA